CCCAGTCCAGGCGTTTCCGGTTCACGCGCAGTACGGAAGTGTGTTGGCCGCCCGGGTCGCGCGCAGTACGGAAGTGTGCCCGGACCAACCGGAAGCCGCAGGCAGAGAGCAATGGCGGGTTTGAATGTAAGGGACCCTGCGGTAGATCGTTCACTCCGTTCAGTGTTCGGTAAGAGTAATGCGGAGTTGCCAAGCACTGGGGAGGGACAGAAAGAGGCAGGGAGCAGCGAGGAACGCCCCCTGCTCCTCTCGAATCGCTTTGGGAACCTGTGATAGCTCTGCCTGCCTCTCTTGTGAGGCGGCCAAGCTGATGAACTCGTGGGCCAAGTGATGTTCCCCTTCGCCCGAGGTTTGGCAGCCTTTCCATGATGTGGCTGAGGAGATTAAACTGGCGTGCAGTTTCTGTGCGTTTGTCCTTTCGTTGGTTTTCTAGCTTCAATTATTTCCCAGAAGCGAGGGCGCTTAGCAACTGCCCCATACTACTTACTCATCTCCTATTTCTGAGCAGATTGTGCTGAGGGTATAGATCCTTGTGTCCACTTCCCACCCTCTTGTAAGGACTTTCATTCTGTGCTTAAAGCCCGGTACTTTTTAGTTCGTTCATGGTGGTAGCGGCAACCTGGCGTCTTAAGGCGGATTGTAAATAAATGAATGAATGAACGATTAAGACCTCGTCAAAGAAATTTTAAAGAGGATTGAATCTATTCTAAATAATTTTTTCAGCCGAAATAAGTTGGTTTTTTTTGTGTGTGCGTTTTTTTAAGTATGTGTGGTGATTTTAAAGCACCTTTTGGAAGGGGCATGGCAAAAACAGTACAGAATAATTTTTAAACGTCTTCCATTACATCCATGGTCATTCTTCTTTGAGTGGTTGTGTGTGTGTGTGTGTGTGTAAATATGGACATATGAACCGGTTTTTAAAATTACAATATTGATTATTTTAGTAGTTAACGATAAGACTTGCAGACCTTCAGATAAATACCAATGCCTAAGTATTTTCACCAAAGTTAAGGAAAATGTAACTCTTGTCTGATCAGTCTGTGAACTTATATTTAGGAGTGTCTCCACCTTATGTATTTAGTCCCAGTGGTTTATTTCTCTTGCAATTAAAGTCAGCAAAAATTGAAATCCTATCTAAAGGAATACCATGGAACTGGGATTGGAGGAGCACTGTATTTTGAGCCAGTTGTTAACATTTGCCATGATATAAGAAAATACTGTTTATTTTTTTACTAAAGATCTAGGCTACAAACTCAGAATTTTAATGTTATCTATTTTTTCCTTAGTGGGGAACATTCCATATGAAGCTACTGAAGAGCAGTTAAAGGACATCTTTTCTGAGGTTGGACCTGTTGTTAGTTTCAGGTGCGATTCTCTTTTGTTAGTTGGTGGGAGTTTCTTAAAAATCACCACAAATTTGGCCATTAGTAATAATGGCAAGGTTTGTACTGGTGACTTTTTGCACGCATTCTTCTTCTTTTTTTTTCTTTTTTTTTTTTATAACAGTTTTATTGAGATATAATTCACATACCATACAATTCACATTCATTTTTACTAAAAGATACTTTTTTTTTTAATGCAGGCGGCATTCAAAGGTCATGCCGTTTTCAAGTATGCCCAGGCTTTTACTCTCTCCTGGCCCCTTTTATGTTTCCTATGCTCATGTGTTCAGCTTCAGGGTCGGCCAGGTATGTGTAACTGGTTTGCATTTTCTCCAGAATCTGCTGCACATGCACACAGTCAAGCCAAAAATGTGCCTTCTCTAACAATGACTACAACCTCAAGCTAGTGGAGCTGTGAGCATTCCCTCTTCAACCACCCCCGTGATTGTCATTTCTACCGACAACACTGCTGGGTGTGGGCTTTTTCCCACCACACCAAATTGAGCAAGCCCCTTCACTAGTCACAGAGAAGCTGTTGATCCTTATGACCTGCCCTGTCTTGTCAACTGAGCTGGGTGAGGGATTCATTTTAAGAAATATTTATGAATGTCAATTGTAATTAAAAAATAAGTTTTTTTCAATGTTTAAAAAATATTCCAGTGAGGCAGTCAGGCTGATAGTTATTTACCTTACAGTTCACCAAATTGGAACATGGCAGTGTTTGCAGGAACCCTGTGTGTATGTAACATTTATGCCTGATACTCGGTTCTGCTCTTCAGGTTGGTATATGATAGGGAGACAGGAAAGCCAAAGGGTTATGGCTTCTGTGAATACCAAGACCAAGAGACAGCACTTAGTGCCATGAGAAACCTGAATGGGCGTGAATTCAGTGGGAGAGCACTTCGAGTGGACAATGCTGCCAGTGAAAAGAACAAAGAGGAGTTGAAGAGTGAGTATAAACCCAAGTTGTATGCAACATGAGGTAGTATAGATGTAACAAAATTTTCCATGTATGGTATGTTTAAGCATCTTAAATGGTTACTCACACAGCTTTTTTTTTTTTTTTTTTTTAATATATCTAATGATTTCAGAGAGAGGAAGGGAAAGGGGGAGAGATAGAAACATCAGTGATGAGAGTCATTGATCGGCTGCCTCCTTGGTAGGAGAAATATTTATGAATGATCCCCTACTGGGGATCAAACCTGCAACCCTGGCATGTGCCCTGACCGGGAATCTAACCTTGATCTCCTGGATCATAGGTCGATACTCAACCGCTGAGCCTCGCTGGCTGGGCCCACACAACTTCTTCTTTTTGACCTACCTGAGGTGCCTGCATTAGGGAAGTGTGTATCTTTGAAAAACAAGGTAAAGTTGACTTTAGAAGTTCCTCAGTTGCCAAGGAGTTAATTCCAGTTGAGGGTGAATTCAGGCTCACCAAGTTATTAGTAGTACTAATTATGTCATCGGTGTTTGCCACTCCTATAAACTATGTTGCCAGATCTTTAGCTGGTGGAGACACTAAGGCATTCGTAAGGCTTTTTTATGAGGTTGTAGATCCAGGAATTCCATTTTGAAATTAGCATCTTTTTCTTTTTAAACCTTTTGCTTTGGAAATTGCTTGTCAAAGGAAATGGATATGCCTAATCCCCAATTTAGGTTAACATTGTCTGCCTCTGTGACTCTAGTCCCAGCTTTACTCTGAGAGCAGAAAATACACTCTGTTACTTTCTTCCACAGAAATAAGAGACTAGCCAATCACTTATTTCTCAGCTCTAGAGAATTTGAAGTTATCATCACGTCCTTACAGCAGCCCTGGAAAGTAGATATTTTGAATGATTTAGCTCTTTATTTTGCCTCTTTAACTTTTTTGTACTTTCTTCCCGATCAGGCCTTGGCACTGGTGCCCCTGTCATTGAGTCACCTTATGGAGAGACCATCAGCCCTGAGGATGCCCCTGAGTCCATTAGCAAAGCTGTTGCCAGTCTTCCACCAGAGCAGATGTTTGAGCTGATGAAACAGATGAAGGTAGGAGGAGGTATTAAGTTATGAATAAATCCAATCACATCAGATTTTCAAGAGTTATTGGTAAAGTAAGTGGAAATGATTCCCTGAGATCAAGTAGAAGGTGTGCCTGTTGACTGCCATCTCTTGCACTGTCACTATTCCACGTGTGCACGGTATATTTTACATTTTGTGCAAAGAGCTTTTCATTTTTGTACACAAACACCAACACAATCTGGCTGGGTTTTTGTGGCCCATAGATATCAGATGTAGATATTAAAATGTGGATTTTTCCCTAAATGATTGTATTATGGTATTTGAAATGCCTCTTCCTTCTCTTGCCTGCCATGACCAAGATTTTGTGTGCCATGCAAAAACCATTACATTTCTCAGATGGGAATGGCTCTAAATCACTATCAATTTCTAAGTAATAAGTATTGAATCTAATGTTTATTCTGTTTATCTTCTCAGCTCTGTGTCCAGAATAGTCCCCAGGAAGCACGGAACATGTTGCTCCAAAACCCTCAGCTGGCTTATGCTTTACTTCAAGCACAGGTAGTGATGAGAATTGTGGATCCAGAGATAGCCCTGGTGAGTGCTACTGGTTCTTTTATGGAACTACTGAGGTAAACCCTGAGTGGGGGTAGGAACTACCTAATTGCTTTGTTAAACAGACAGCTCATAGTTTTGTCTTTTTACCTTTTAGAAAATTCTGCATCGCCAGACCAATATCCCAACGCTGATGGCAGGCAACCCTCAGCCAGTCCACAGTGCCGGGCCTCCCTCAGGGCCTGGTGTGTCAATGAATCAGCAGAATCCTCAAGCCCCTGGGGCCCAGCCTTTGGTAGGGCTTTACCCTTTAACATTTCTTTTATCTGTCTTAGAATGTTGTTTTCATTTTAGGTCAGGCGCCAGAGATGGTCATTTCAATTTCCGAGCATAAAAGTAGTTTCCAGGTTGAACAGTATGTGGCATCTGAATGAATATAGATTTGGTGCCAACTTTGTAAAACAAAGAAGTCCTTCCTGTATGCCCTTTTTATAAGCTAATTTTGTGTGTCTATGCATGTGTAGCATTGTGGTTGGCACTTTGTTATTTCCTATACCTTGTTTTATTTAATACAGTGATTGTATGAGGGTAGCACTCTTATGATCTCCATTCTTACCAATGAAAAAAGTAAGAACCTAGCTTTTCAAATGTGACACAAAACCCTGAAGCCATAGAAAATCAATACATTTGAAAACTGAAAAATTTCTATATGGACAAAAAGAAATAAACATCAAAGACAGATGACAAATTGGGAAAAAGTATTTGCCATACATGTGGACAGTTGACTCATTACTTAAGAGCCCTTAATCATGTTTAAGAATGTTTATTGTCACATTATAATAGTAGAAAATTAAAAACATCCTAAATTTACATCAGCAGAAGAATAGAGAAAATACAGTATACTCCACAACAGTTGAATAAACTACATGTGTCACCATGAGTGACTTTCAAAAACATAATTCCATATAGCAATTAAGATAAACTAGGATACATGGTATCAACACATGGTTTTTAAGATAACTTAAAAACATAATACCATACAGAAGTGGAAATAAGTGAATGTGGAAGCATTCCCAAACTCATGGGATATATGTGTCTATCAAAAACATGTTGAGCGAGTTGCAAAGAATATTCAGTATATAATGACATAAAATTTCAAAACATCTATAAGAATTCTTAAGTGGCTATCTAAGAAGGGGATGCAGAGTGCAATTAAGGAAGACCATGTGGGAGATTTCAGTTATGTATATAATTTATCTCCTAAGCTGTGTTGTTAATTTTGTCTACTATACAATTTATATATCTGGAATTTTTCATGATAAGCAAAAAAGACCATAAACCAGTAAGAAAATTATCAATAACCCAGTAGAAAAGTTTGCAGTGGATATAAACAGTTCACAAAAGTAGAAATACAAATATATATTAAATACACGGAAAAGTGTTCAACCTCAAAAAAGATAAATGTAAACAAAGTACAAAAAGCTACCATTTTTCAGCTATCAGATTGGCAGAGGCAAACAACTTGGACGGATCATACAAAAGTTTAGGGCAGGAATCTGCCACCATCTCCTGTAAATGGCCCGATCGTAAATATTTTTGGCTTCGCAGGCCGTGTAATCCTTCCTAACTACTCAACTCTTCTATTGGAGTGTGAAATCAGCCATAGACAATACATAAACAAATGTGCATGGTTGTGTTCCAATAAAACTTTATTTGTGAAACAAGTAAGCCAGATCTAACCCCTGCTCTAATTCAATAAATATTTCTTCAGAAATAGAATGAAATGAAATAAGACCCAGAGAGGTTAACCCATCCAAAAATAGCATAATTGTAAGTGGCGTTGCTAGGATCTAAACCTGGTTCTTTGTGACGTCATAGCCTGTTTTCTCTTAACCACCTTACTATACAATTTTCTGTTTTAGAGGGGGTTTTTTTGTGTGTTCTCTGAGAATATGTATGATTTTTCTTATAACTTAGATATTATTTATTAAGCTCTTTCTGTTCCAAGGGACTGCTTAGTTCTCTGGGGAATACACAGATGAAAACATATAACAGTCCCTTTCCCTCCAGGAGCTTTACTGTAGCATTAAAAAAAATAACATTCCCACCTCCCCCCAAACTAGAATTATATCTCAGGACAGGGAGGAGAAAAGATTGGTCAAATTTTAAAAATTTCATCTTAAAATGCAGACTGCCAGCAATTTCTCTATTTTTTTAAAAATATATCTTTTATTGATTTCAGAGAGAAGAAAGGAGAGGGAGAGAGAGAGATAGAAACATCAATGATGAGAGAGTCATTGATTGACTGCCTCCTGTATGACCCCTTCTGGGGATCGAGCCCGCAACCCGGGCATGTGCCCTGACCGGGAATCGAACCCCGATCACCTGGATCCTAGGTCGACGCTCAACCGCTGATCCACGCCTGACCAGGCCTAGCAATTTCTTTATAAAAATGTCCCAGCCTCCTCTTTTTCTCCTGGGGTTCAAGGCACTTTTTGCTTTACTCTTATTGCCAGGCCCCAGTCATGAAATCAACAATAGATGCTATATGTAGCCTCACCACACAAATAAGACTTGTCTCAGCTTTTAGAACATCTTAACTGTGTTATAACCAGGCTCTTCATGTGTATTGCATCTTTTCGAAGTGTGTTATAAACCTAAGTCTGCATGAGACATGCTATACAAAAAGGGTATTTGGTAGAATATTTGGGGTGTCAATTTGAAGAGTTCTTTAAGGTCATAGTCTTTGTGTGTTGAGTCTCCACAGAGATGTCTACATACTCTGGTTTTTTTCCTGGTCAGGGTGGCATGCATGTCAATGGTGCACCTCCTTTGATGCAAGCTTCTATGCAGGCTGGAGTTCCAGCACCAGGGCAAATACCAACTGGTGTAACAGGACCTGGCCCTGGTCCCTTAGCTCCCGGAGGTACGTTGCATTTAGAGTTCGCCATTTTGGTATTTTGCTAAAGTTTTTTATTGCAAACGGGATAGATGTTGATATAAAATTAAAATACAACTAGGGAAAAAAATTCTAGGTGGAGGAAACAGTTGATTTCTTATATATAAATCCTATATGTTTGATTATGAGAACAGGGAAGAGGACAGTAAAGTGGAAAGGTACAGTGAAATTTCCAAATTAATGAAAGGAAAATTGAAATGAATGGAAACTAGACCAAGCCAGCAAATACGGAAAAAATAAAACGATATGGTAAAGTAAGTAATAGTAAACGTAGAGTAAGGGGGAAGGAATAAAATCTTGTATAGTCATTATTCTACTAAATGTGAATGGACCGAATTCTTCTGTTAAAAGCTAGAGACTGTTAGATTAGGGTAAAAACACATGGGGGGGGG